CCCCTGAAAAACTAGCATCGTGGTTGAAAACTAGCAGAGTTCTAATAAATTTGGTCCCTATCTGGATGCAAGTTCACTTCAACCTCGCTTGAGGATGTGGAAAACCAGTGCTGACAAGTCCCGATCCTTCCATGTTGAATGTAATCAATAGAACATCTGGTATCTTGCTCTAGGTAGCTGTAGGTGGTTGGAAGTAACCATGTTATCATGTGTGTGTCTAATCAACCAAAACAATTTGCGCATCTTATAGGTTATCTGGTATTAAATTCAACCAAGAAAACAAAGATGAGGTTCGATGTGGGTTAAGTCTTGGGAGGCATCCCGTGACACATTTGGCATAGGCTCTGATAGGACTGGTAAGATACACCATGTTGGAAATAACACGAAAATGGTGAATCGCCCAATTGTGAATAAGCTCAATTGCTGGCAAGGTCCGAGGAATGGATTTTGACTTAATGCTGAAAGTTCGGAGGAATACTGACAATTCAGTGATCTTGCACGCCAGGTGAATCCGGTTCAGGATAGGAAGCAAAGTTCAACCTGGGTGAAATGGTAATGAGTCAGGCTGGTAAATTGGTTCAGGTGGTGAACCAGAACGTTGATGTGATCTGAATCAGTCCGCGATCTGATCTGATCATGACTGTGGATCTGATCGGTTTGGTAATCCGGAAACGTTTAAATCATGTTCAGTGGTGGATGGAGAGATCTTAGAACGCATCAGATGAAACGGTGAGGCGAGGGTGAAATGTTCCGCCACAGGTGAATTGGTCTTCAACGAAGTAATCGCTTTCGTGAAGAGAGCCGCGACGGCGAGGCAGCCGCTTCGGGTGCTGTGAATCTAATCGATGATGTGAACCCTTCGGCGATAAGAAACAGTCTTTAATATTATGGCGTAATTGAGTCGATGTCGTAATCCACATACGCTGTGGTGAAACGGTTCGGTCTGGTGAATTGATTCAGTATGGCAAACCGATTCAGTGTGGTGAATCGGTTCAGTGATTTGATGATGTAGATCGGATGTGTGAGTCAGCTGGCAAAACAGCGGTTTGATGAGGCGGAACGACGAGTAGACATCTGATGATGCGCCAATAAAATCATCACCAACCGACATGTATGGAATTCCACGGATCGACGACAGCAGTTAATACTGGTCGTTGAAAGCGGGGGTTTGTCGGGTGATCATCTGTTGACATATAACGAGCTCTGTCTGCCAGCTGACGGGAGCAAGTATGTCTATATGCTCTAGAAAAATCCTTGATAAGGGAGCACATTCCCGACAATGTTTGCTCCAGGAACACAGGTCAGTACAACCCACACATGACGAGAAGGGTCCGAGGAAGTAAATATTGTTACAGTGTGCGCAAAATTACGCTACTTAGGGTCAACTACCGATGATATATTTCTCATGTTAACTTGTACGGAAAGCTGAGAACTCTCACAATATGTCCACACAGTGGTGCGACAAGAAGAAGAATGATCACTCTGGTAGTCACGTGGGAGAGCAGCCTGGGGAACATGGGCGTATGGACAAGAAGAGAGGCCTACAGGAAAGTACTCATTCACTTTCCACTCTCAAGCAAGGCGTAAAGAGAGAAGTGCAAATCGTGAGATAGGATAAGTTTAAAAAATTGACACCTTCAACTCAATTAGTCCTAATTAGTTTACACACACTACGCCTTTTTGATTCATGCGCACTGTGTAAAGTTTAAACGGGAAAACAACTTCCCGCTTAGAGGAATACTGCCCACCTAAAGGTAGGTGAATATCGAAGCTTCTTTGCAACATATCGAAAGTTAAAGGTAATTTTGCTTTTGTTGGGACCATCAAGTTATATCGAGATATCCAAATATTGAGACATCCGGATCGAAAGTTAAAAGACCTTAAATGATGATACAATTATGATGGATTTTGCCGGGACCAAGATGTTATACCGAGACAACCGAGATATCGAAAGGCTATCAGAGTTCGACACAACTGTAATTTCATGATCATGTATATGCTATAGTCCTGCATCTCGCTAAACAGGTGGAATGTGGAAGCATATCATGTAAAGCTGCTTGCTTGCCACAATGAAAATCCAAAGTTTGATTCCCCAGATTAGTACAATGTGTGAAGCCAATTTCTGGTGTTCCCCTTGCTGTGATATTGCTGGAATATTGCTAAAAGTGGCGAGAAACTAAACTCACTCTCTGATTGTTCTTCACCATCGTCAAGTTCCAGTAATACTTACCAATGGGATCAATAAGTTTATCAATATTTTCTGCATTCGGTGGCAGCCCTCAGCCCCATCTGTGGAGCAGGGACCAGGTGAATCCTCCGCGACACGGAGTGACGAAGCGGTACATGAAGGTGTCGAAAGGCCAATCATGTCCACGACTGGCACCACCACTGTAGTCCGCTGTTCCTTGATCCGGGACAGGAGCGGCTCCAAACCATTGACTGTTCACTTCCTATGTGACTGTCGAGGAAACACCAGAAACCTGTGAAGGAACAATCTCTGTGGTAAATATGAATTAGTTTGTTATTTGTTTGTTGAAGGAACAATGACTGTGCTAAATCATCCTCAATCTCCAAGGTATGTCTCCAAATAAATCTCCACTATACCCTGGATGCATCTACAGCTAGGTCCCGATGATTTTATTACATCCTTCGCTTTGGCTTTTTATCCAATGAGCTGTCTACGCTGGGAAGTTGAGCGCACAAATCAAACTCGAGTTTTCGCCTTTAAACTATCTGACTGATTAAACTTGGCAACACAATTGTTGTAGAGGTACTCTGAAAGAGGTAGAAGGAGTTTTGCATATATTTTTAAGATTTCAGATCTGTCAATTTGTCTGTATGTTTTCCCAAATCAGAGCTCGTGACTAGCATTAAACTTCAGCCAGCTACAACATCTATCTTTTTGTTGACACTGGCAACACTCAGGTTGTAACGGCAGCTTATCTGATTGGCTACTGTGAGAATGTGGAGTCACCAAAGGGAGGTAATTTAATCATTGGCTCGAGAGTCGGTAGATGCATCCAGGGTTTAGTGGAGATTTATCGGAATGTATACCCTGGAGATTATCGAGGATGTGTGCTAAATATGAAGTATTTTGTTATTTGTTTGTTGAAGCACTCAGCAATATATTCCAGCTTTATATGGCTGGTCTGTAAGCAATGGAATCTTGGACCAGAGAATCCAGTGATCGACATCATGAGCATCAATCTACATAAATTGGGTTGGTTGGTTTGTTGTATTATATTGTAATCTAAATACATAATTTTTGGGGAATACATCATGTGGTAGAAGCTACCCTGAGGGCTGATAGTTAGTATTATTCAGATAAATCCATTATATATTTCTTGAGAAGCATGGTGTGATATAGTGCCTTTAGTTTAATATTGCCACATAAAAACAATACCGAGGATACTTAATGATACCGCGGGTGAACATTTATTTTTTGTCGTTAGCAATTCACCGAAACATACAAATCCTGTGATTCAAACTGAAGATCATAGGACCTAGGAGGACTATTGAAGTGGAGACAACTATTGCAATAGCTAAAGTCTATTGCAACATACTATTACTATAGCTTATAGTCTATATAACTAACAAGAAACTTGAAACCCAGATCAAGTTTGTTTAAGAGGTAACAAGGGCAGATAACTCTAAATAAACAAGTAAACAAATCTGATACTTCCTGTATTTTTGTGCTATGCATTTGATCAACAGAAGTCAATTACTAAACTATCGATAGTCACACATACAATCGATGCATCGATAGTTTTGTGTTTCTACCATCGACACTTGCTATTGGTGACTTAACAATTGCAATTCATCGATAGTTTATTGGATCATTACAGCCTTAATCAGACCACAATTTCATAAGGAACATCATGACAATGTACAGATGACAAGTCCTATTACAGGGCATGAAAAAACACACTGACAGATAGTGCCAATGCAAGACCAAATCATACCAAGTTTGATGGGGTCTTGTGCATAATTCTATTTTACTTCACGATAAATTTTTATCTAAATACCCCTCAATCTGAAATATTTGTAATGCTCTAAATTTTAACTTTTCAACTAAATTATCCAACCTGTCCAGTGGCTTGCCTAGCTCCCAGTATCCTGGCTCGAATCAGTCCCAGCCTCTCTGTACTGCGGACTAATTTCACCTTCGAAGGTCCTGTATATACCTGGACAGACGAGCCTTGAGGTGGTCTGCAGCAGATGTATCACACGTTATATCATGTGCATAGTTACCATGGTTACTACAGAGTTAGGTGAGTTGAGTTAAACATCGCTTCAACAGTATTTCTGTTATATCACAGAGGTCATGGCTGAAGGATCCCATGTGATGAAGGTCGATGTTGTTTGCAACACTTGTAAACAATTCCGAGAAAATAGTGTGAGTGTGCTATTCAAACTCATGAATGTAGAATTCTGGCTTCTAAGGACCATTCATAATTTATGGCTAGGGGTGATGATGATTTTATGAAGAAGCATGTACATATGAATGACACCCCCTAAAATTTATGTACAAAAATAAGTGACCCCCTCCCTTCTCATAATTTCTAGGCATAATTTAAAACATTTTTATGTACAAACTTGCTGACCCCAGCTCCCCAGAACAAAATGGTGACCACCACCCCCTAAAATCATCCCACCCCAACCAAGCCATAAATTATGCGCGAGGTAACTCTGCATACCACGTAAAATAGTCGCCACCACTTGCCCCTTCCGTGAACTCCAAGAAGACTCGCCCCCTATCGATGCTTGTTATGTTGCGCGAAAACTGACCTCACTAACCTTTTGTAAAACTAACCTCACTCACTCACTTTCGCTCACTATTTTTAAGAAGTGAAAATACAGAATGCTGACTGACCAAATGTACTTGCATCATCCACCAATATGATCTCATGGAGATACTTTGCAGGTCCGTATGAGGATTGTCTCGAACGGATCTGACGAGAGTAGACCACTTTCGTTGTAGAAACACATGACCACGCTGGGCCATGGGCAGGTCCTCTGGGTACTGCTGCTCCTGGCACCTGACAACAAACAAAGCCATGTCTCAATATAAACATTAGTTTATACACCATCTGACAAGTATCTTCAGTGAAAACCTGACGAGGCTCCAGAAAATTCAAATACAGATAGACAGTGATGCGGAATATAGCACTACATGATCATGACGATGATGATGATGATGATGATGATAAGGAGGAGGAGGAGGGGCACAGAACTCACAATGTATTCCTGGAGTCTTTGATAGGTCTGATCTCCCCAAGCCTCTCACTGAGCAGCTCATTGAAACCATGGTGAGCCATACCTGTCCAAAAAGTAATGCATAGTGTAAAATTCAAGTGAAGTTAGTTTGTTAGTTTTGTTGCTCAACACTGCACTTAGCAATGAATATTCCAGGTAGGTGACAGTGGCCTGTAAGTGATGATGATGATGATGATGATGATGATGACGATGATGATTTTGTTTGTTCATTGTTTAACGCTGCACTCAGCAATATTCCAGCGAGCCTGATCACCAGATCCCGTTAGTTGCCTCTTAGGACAAGCATGGGTTACTTAAAACCAATTCTAACTTGGATCTTTCGATGATTGTGGACAAAATGATCTGATGATATGAGGCAAGGATAAAAGGGTACAAACTAATCTATTCTCATCAAGCTTCTCCATCCATTACAATCAAAAATATTGGTAGTGATTCATTCCAACTTTCAAACAGGGAACGATTTAGTGCCTTGATTATTACTTGCACAGGTGCAACCCAATATTACAAAGTACAAAATGCAACCGGGTGCAAGTCAATTTTTGAGTGGGTAAACTTCCGAATAAAACATCTAAATAAATCAATAGCATATTTCTTTCATTACACATTGCAATAAAAGCAGTGCAACTGGAATTTGTCTGGTGCAACTAGGTTTTTATTTTAGGTTGCACCTGGTGCAAGTAGGTTAACATCTCTTAATGGAGCCCTGCTTTGTCAACCATTAAAAGTAATCAGGAACAAGTAATAATCATGACAATGTAAGAAATAGCGAGAAATCAATGAGTTGGGTATTTACCTTCACTTAAGATATTTTCATCTGTTTTATTTCTCACCATACCAACTTTAAATAGTTCCATGTCATCTTCTTTGGTCCACACAGCTTTGACTAGATAGGCATCGGATGAATGTCCATGCTCTGTGGTCTCTAATATATTCAACACTGCACTTAACTCCGGGAACACAACATTATTTGAAAAGGTGTCAAACTGTTCCGTTTGGAGTAGTTTTAATGTCAAGTATGCCACCATACAGACTACTCCAGCTTGGCAGCAGAGTCTCCAGAACATCTTTATTCAAAGAATCATCTTACTGGAATTGTGCACAGGTTATCTCAGTTTCTTCCAGGTTATCTGAATAGAAAACAGAAATGGTATTACATATATTTGAACACATAATCACATGAGGAGGCTCAAGGTAACTGATTGAGTGACTGAGTGAGTAAGTGAGTGTGTGAGTTTTACACTGCTTTTAGCAATATTCCAGCAATATATTTTTATATAATGGCATGGAAGCCAGAAATTGGCTTCACCCACTGTACACATGTAGGGAAGCAAACCTGGGTTTTAAGCACATGGCAACCCTAACGCCTCTATGGTTTTAGGCTGCTTTTAATCACAGCGGGGGAACACCAGAAATGGGCTTCACACATTGTAGCCATGTGGGGAATTTAACCCGGGTTTTCTGAGTGACGAGCGAACACTTTAATCATTAGGCTACCCCACAGCCCCTCAATATACAGTGAAACACAACTGTGGTGGTGTGTGGTCCTGAGCATAGAGCTCAGGTCACTATCAGCTGAAGTTAAGCAACTTGGTGAGGAGAGTCCTTGGATGGGTGAGTGTGTGTGACAGCTTGACTCCTGAGAGTTTCTAGGACTTCACTCCTGCCCAACAACCAAGCACATGTGATGCACATGGTTAGGTTGGGGTGAAACGGTATACTGCAGTATTTTGCCTTTGGTTTGGTATACAATAATGCATTCCAGAAATTCTGTATTTTTGGTTTTTGTGCTGTCATATTATTAATCTTCTTATCTACTGAACCGAAATGGACTGAACTGAAGACACTGTACTGCAATACTTATCATAGCATGGAAAGAGCGTACCATTTCACCATTAACCTTAGGCAAGTGAGTTTGTTCAAAATTGCCTCTGTTCACCCAGCAGAAAATGGATACCAGTGGGAAAAATCACTATTAACCTTCTAGTGCTTAACAGGCAGCTTGGGTTATCTGGGGTAATAATAATCAGATTCTGTTAGCACTTTGAGCATGTGCCTTGCACATGAAAAAGGATATTATTCACAATTATTATTATTGTCAAACATTTTAATGTGTAAGCTAGATCCCTGTGTATTCCTTCATTGTTTATCCATTGTATTAACATGATTAAACCTTGAATCTTTTACACAGGTCCTTTCAACTTTGACACAACAGTTATTGATCATAGCTTTACTCCTTTCCTTTGGGTCCAGTTTTGGAGTATTTTTACACAAATCACTGAAGCATTTATTATGGCACCAGTGTTAGGTACCAATGAGGTTAATGGGGAAACCCCTTACTAAATAGCATGCTGATCGTTGTGGGGAATGAGCGCAGCAAAGAGTCCGAAGTCGGAAGAAGCTAATTACAATTTTATTTACAAGAACAGAATAACAAGGGGTGGAAACAGAGTCATTGACAGTAACATTACTTGACAGTATGTATAAACGGAAATATGGCATTCTAACTATAAATGATTGCAATAGTTTAGGTTAAATAAAAAGTATTTAAAAAAACCAAACAACAAAAGCTACAAACAGTTATTAATATAAAGATATGGTGACGTTTTACCATGTAAGGTATATCTTTTTTTTTGCAAAGCAGCTGCAGTTTTCCCATGCCGGCCATGGTGACGTAACGTGTTAATGCTGTGCCATTTTAGCTTTACACTCTTGAAACACGTCTCAAGTAAACGTATGGTATCATTCGCATCGCCTGACTGTTGATGCCTTAATCAACACAACATAGCATCCTAGGTCTGGAGTAAGTCAACCAGAAAATATTTCTCTTACGGGTGAGCGGCATCCCATGTGCTTTTGTTGACGGAAGTAATAACCGGATATTACACGTGTAGTCGCTGAAAACACTGTAAAAACTAATTTCTGATATATACTAATTCTGGATAAATAGCACCAAAGTAAAAATATCAGTATAGAATCAGAGATGAAAAAAATGAAAAAATGGAAACCTTGTGCTAGATATACCCCAAAGTGATATTTAATGATGATATAAGGGGCAAATAGGCTTGTGGACTTTTTCGTTTGGTTAATCGATTGACCCACCAGCAGTTTATGTTTTCAATATAAATTAAAGAAACAGGTCTCGCTTGTCCTGCAGAATCCTACACAATGTCCGTATATGTAATTCTATGTGATATTCCATCCATTAAATTGAAGCTGCATCGGATACAAATCTATTCATTATTTCCGTATTCATCGTGTAGAGATTGGACAAGTTTATCTTAACGAACACACATTCTAAACTGAGTTCTGTCTGTGGGCGTTGCAGCTATACCCAAACGCACGGTGATGGAGACCAGCCCACTTGGCGTTGGTGTTGACTGAATGTAAAACGATCAACATCAAATCTCTAATGTACTGAAGTATGTTTCAACAAGTGTTTGTTGGTTCAGAGACGTGTGGGCGTGACATTTGAAAATATGTGATTTTATTTTGTTCAACGTAACTGTCAATAATTGCCACATGTTTGCAGTTTCAAGTGTTTGTTTTTGGGTAGCCAAGTGGTAAAAGTGTTTTTCATCATTCCACACACTTATGGGTTCGATTCCCAGATGTGGAGTTTACAATAAGTCACGTCTTGATGCCTCAGGTCACTCTTTATGTTACTTACTGGTATAATAGATGCACGCACATATACATAAAATAGAGAACCACAAGCAGTTTTAGAGCACTCACTCACCCCCATGTGGTGAATTGCACCTGAGTCTTCAGCAAGACGAGCAAATGCTTTAACTATTAGGCTACCCCACCGCCCTTGCAGCTGTGGGATATTCTTAACACAGCACACATGTTCCAGATCATGACAGAGTCCTGACAGGTGTCACGTGGTGATGCCCCGTCTTCGCCAGCTCAAGCTGCCTGTCGCCATCATCATCGGTTTCTGCATCATCTACTTCCTGTTGCACCGTCATGCCAGCGACATTAACCGTCGCCCGAGACCTTTCCGACCACGAGCCCACAAGGGAGTTCCAATGCCCCTTCCCCCCGACGATGCTGACGATAGTGGGAAATCATCCCAGTACAGTTTAGAGTATCTCCACGATTTAGGGAGGATTGAGACACCTGACGACCAGCGTAAACATGATCAAGGTAAGAAAACGAGATGTAGGAAGGGATTGAGACACCTGATGACCAGTGTAAACATGATCATGGTAAGAAAACGAGATATAGGGAGGATTGAGACACCTGACGACTAGCGGAAACATGATCAAGGTAGGAAAACGAGATATAGGGAGGGATTGAGACACCTGACGACTAGCGGAAACATGATCATGGTAAGAAAACGAGATATAGGGAGGATTGAGACACCTGACGACTAGCGCAAACATGATCATGGTAAGAAAACAAGATATAGGGAGGGATTGAGACACCTGACGACTAGCGCAAACATGATCAAGGTAGGAAAACGAGATATAGGGAGGATTGAGACACCTGACGAGCGCAAACATGATCAAGGTAAGAAAACGAGATATTGGGAGGATTGAGACACCTGGTGACTAGCGCAAACATGATCAAGGTAAGAAAACAAAATAAACAGAGGATTGAGACACTTTCCAACCAGTGCAAACTTGATCAAGGTAAGAAAACGAAAACGAAAATGTAATCATGAAATGTTTATGAAAATACATTGGGTCTTGGTGTTACGATGAATTACCCTTACCATATGTGTACTGAGTTCATGCCTAAAAACATTCTTTTCAGGGTTACTGCCTCCATTTACGATTGCCTTTTAAGATTGCTCCTTGTACAACAGTTGCCCCAGGTGGAGTGACCCCAGCATAGGGAGGCATTGTCCTCAGATATCATGTAGAAAGGTGTCATATTGGAATAGAAGATCTGAATTTTAGGAGATTCTCTATTGATTGTTGGCTGCTAAGCAGGATAGATAACAAGTTAACCAAATATGGGAATCCTTGGGTGTATATCCATCAATGTTGGGGCCGGTGGGGTAGTCTGGTGGTTAAAAAGTTTGTTCATCATGCCAAAGACCCGGGTTCGATTCCCCACATGGGTACAGTGTGTGAAACCCATTTCTTGTGTCCCTGCTAATAGTGTTGTTGTTTAATGCTGTTGACAATGACTGTTCAGGTTACCACCACCATGCGTTCAACATCCTCATCAGCTTACCGACTGGATTATGTTCGACCCGATCCCCCTACACACCAGGAATCCTCAGTATGCGTGATACAACAGCACAGTGACGCTGCTGTGTAGTTCTCTTAACAACAGACTCACTCACTCACTCACTCACTCACTCACTCACTCACTCTCACTCACTCACTCACTCACTCACTCACTCACTCACTCACTCACTCACTCACTCACTCACTCACTCACTCACTCACTCACTCACTCATATACCTGTGATCCTGGTTAGAACTGGTCTTAGGCAAACCATGCCACTAACTCGATTGGGTGGTCAGACTCGCTGACTTGGAAGTGACCCATGAAGATCCTGGTTAGAATTGCTCTTCATTAACCCATGTTTGTCGTAAGAGGCGACTAACAGGATCGGGTGGTCAGGCTTCGCTGACTTGGTTGACATGCATGTCATTGTATCCCATTTGTGTAGGTTGATGCTCATGCTGTTCATCATTCTATTGTCTGGTCCATACTCCTTTATTTACAGACTGCCGTTCAATAACTCACTCGGGTAATATCCTGTTCCTGACTTACAGGCTGAGATTGGTTGTCGTGTTTCAGGTGCAGTGACAACGTCTTCTCCAGCAACCTGCCTACTGCTAGCATCATCATCTGCTACATCAACGAGGCTTAGATCCGCCTTTGCTGCGTACAGTACACACTGTGATAGCCCGGACACCGGAACACCTTCTCAAGGAGATCATACTGATCGATGATTACAGTGACCTTGGTAGGCATACTGTCAACTCAAGGTCAAGGACAAGGGAGATAAGTCTATGGATAGTAGACTAACAATTAGCCTCGGAAACAAACATAGTTTACAGAAAAGAAACTAGTTCATAATAAAAAAATGAAATGTAATGAAAAGGAGTCGTAAGACTTTCTTCATTTTCAGAAACTGAAGCTATGGAAATCTATAATTTTTTCTTATCCTGACTCATGCTTATTTGCTTGTCTTCTTCTTCTGGCGAACCTAGTGGAACACTTGTATCTCCCAATTGAAGTTCCCTTCAATAAAAAATCACTCATTAGTACTCACCACGAGTTACCTCCCTTTCTGTAAGCGCGGGAACGAGGGCGCCACCCAAGCCCATTTGCCTCACTCTCTCCTTCTTCGCCCAGTGAGCTGGACCTGAGAGCACCTGTGTCTCCCAACACACTATATCCTTTAATTATATTTAGTTAAGTTCCTCTTATACGTTAGTATAGAGGTAGTACTAGTATAATTATTCAATTTGCATTGATTATTAATTGTATTTCTGCTGTTTTATTCACGGTTCATCGTGTTTGTTCAGTAGGCTACATTAATGAAAATTTGCACAGAATGTAAACTACGTTATTCTGATACCGATCCACATTTAAAATGCCCTAGTTGCATTACTCCATGTTCCTTTGATTCTCGTCGTAATTTTTGTATCAATTTACCTATCTCTGCCTTTGACAAATATTTATGTTCCGCTTTACAGACGGAAGGCAGATAAATCCCGTGAAACAGAATTCAAACATGGCTAATAGATCTAGAAATTAATGTTTCATGTCAACTGTTGACTGAGGACTCGCCGCCACGGGCTGGTGGCATACTGAAGTTTCCTCGGAAGATAAGCGTGGGATGCAGTCCGCTATGTCCAAAAGCGACCTGCATCTCAAGAGCTGCCGTCTTCTCAGTCCAAGTCGAGGAAACCATCCATATATCATCTCAGTACATTGCGCATACCACGAAGATCTACAGCTTCATCTAAAGGGAAGTCAACAAAATCTAATAATTTTGCCTCTGATATTTTACCAGTTACAGAATTAGCATTATATGATGATCTGATATGCCAATTATCATTCCAGAAGTTCGCCAAGAAAGCGGCCCGCTTTTGCGACTGTCACCTCAGCGCAGATGAACACACAACCGGAGATGCCGACTCTATCACCAGAAATTTTATCTGAGGGTCCCGTCACCTCTGCAGAGAGACATCCCTCATCAACGCAGACTGCTTCATACGACTTGATCAACCAGATAATGAGGGTGATGGAAGACCGCTACGGCTTACAGAGGCCTCAGAGCCCACCCCTTATCAAGTCATACAGGGCCTCAGAGCCCGCTTGGCTTCGCTGAGGGCCTCTGGCCCATAGACGCCTCCTCGGCCACCCTGCCGGGTGAGCTCTTTGCATAAGGTATCCCAGGTCAGCCTCGAGAAGGAGCCAGAGCCTCACCTTTTGCAAGAGGCTTTCTGGAGAAGGAGCGCTTCGCCGAGCACGCACCTTGTCATGCACGAAGGAAGGAGTCCGCGAAGCAAGCGCTCATATGTCGGATCGGGACACTGACTCCAGACATTCGCGAGGGACGCTGGCTGCTAAGGGTTCTACATCGCCTAGAAGGCGATCGCCAGAGCCCTCAACGCTCGAGAAGTTCAGGAGCGCCTGCGGAAGCCATCACCGTTCGAAGCCCACAATCTCCGCGAAGGTTGTCTTCCAAGGTCTACATACACTAGCCA